CTTTTCGTTTTTGAGTTGTTTTTTTTTTTAAATAATTTCAACCCCGCCCCCTTAACCCTACATTTTTAATCAGCTGTTTTCAAAATCAATAGGCTTCATCCCCTTATAGAGCTTGATTTTTGCTAAAACTTTCAAGTTAATATCTTTTTTTTTTAATATTTCAACCCCCTTAAATGAATATAAATGATTCATTTTTTTCAAAATCAATAGGCTTCATTTCCTTACAGAGCTTGCTTTTTACTAAACATTTTATGCTTATATTGCTTTTCATTTTTGATTTGTTTTTTTTTATATATATAATTTTAATCCCCCTTAACCCTCCATTTTTAAACACTTTTTTCAATAGAATTCGTCCCCTTATAAAGCTTGATTTGTTCTGAAATTTTCAAGTTGATATTTTTCATTTTTGACTTATTGTACCAACAAAAAACGTGACATTGGGCATTTTTAAATTTGGACAAATATTAAATATTTGGTTTCTTGAAAGTAAACCTATAATACTCTTTACTGACTACTGCATGAAGAGTATAATAAAATATTAAGTGCTTCTGGAGTACCATGAGGGAGTGTTATGGAAGGACTTATATATTAATAACCTGCAAGTGTTAAAAATAAAACATTAATTTGGAAATTTATTTGTAGATGATACTGTCATATGTGTATCTGGGCATAAGTATGGGGAATTTGTGGAAACAATAAAAATGGAATTAAGCCTTCTTTTCAATGGGTTATGTGAAAAAAAGTTAAAACTAAATGCTTCAAAAAGGAGGTACATAATTTTGGGATCTAAATTGTTTTGTCAACAATTTAAAATATACATAAACAAGTTATTAGCAACTTTGTTGTAAAAGTTCTGTGATCATGTATGTTTATTTTTATTTATTGTTATTTTATTTCAAACAGTTTGTTTATTTTTTTAAATAAACATTATTATTAATACATTTGTTATTTTAGTTGACAGCCATTAAATGATTGATTAATTAATGTGAGATATGCATGATTTTTTAATTATTTAAGTCCACATTTCATTATATTATTGTGAATTAAATTATTAAAAAAAAATTAGATTTGAAAAAAAATTTAAATTGACCATGATACTGAAATTAAATATTTAGAAACTTTAAAAATTTTGCAAACTATCTGGGTCAAAATCTAGGAAATAAAATTGGGGTTTCCAGTCAAATTTCACAAAACTTGTACGACTATTTGTGTAAAAAGAAAAACTAGAAAAGAAAATTGGGTTTTCCAGTCAAATTTTACAAAACTTATCCCAGTAGTCTAAACTTTTTAATTTTCAACAGTATATCACCTCATTATTGTAACTCACTGTTACTTTCATGTTCAAATATAGAATAAGTGTATGAGAATTACTTTGGGCTGTAATAGATTTTAATTATTATTGTTAAATTGGTTGACAGTGGAGGAAATCAATAGTAGAGCGAGTGTCTTACTTATTTATAAATTGATGATTATTAACAAATGTCCATCATACCTTACAGACAATGAGATTCAATCATCATTCACGATCATTAAGGTCAAAGGACAATTTTGATGTAGAGTTTACAAGTAAATCCTCTTGATCTTTGTTTTTTTGCCTTCGGCTAACGCCAACACAGTCAATTACTAAGTACGATAAGTTAAATAGTAAGTTGTAGCCTAAGTGTTAAAGGTACATAAATTATAGCCTAAATTCCCTACTAAACCTAAAACTGTAATACAAAGAATACTGAGGATTATACATGGACATTCGCTTCACATCTAGGGGTCTTTCAAGACAACTTTTACAGATGACAGTATGAAGGAAATAAACAAATTGGGAGAAAATAACAAAGGAATGACGTAACAAGAGAAAAAATTCATGTCATTAAATAAAATATGTTTATAAGTACACAAGAAAATATTGTCAAGACTATTTATTTTCATAAAGTAAAAAAAGGACCCCCTATAAAGTATACCCCAGATCCTTCGACTATGTCCAAAATTTAATCAGCTCACTGCAGGATGGATTAAAGCTTAAGTTTAAAATTAAGTGTTTTCTCTTTATACGTTTTTGAGTTATCTTCAAAATTCGAAATTTTCACTTTCTCTCAAATATGGTTCATTTTAGGAAAAATAGGAAAAATTATAGAGAATGACATCACAAGCAACTTTTACCACGATTCCTATTACTTTCCTTATCTGTATACTGAAAAGAAAGTAAACCTTGACAGTGTTTTTTTAGACAATCGATTTGCGGCATATTTATTAACATATTTGTAACCTACAGCACCCAGGTACCTTAATAATTTATTAAATATAATATTGCATTCTTATTAAATTCAAAATCCTTCATTTAACGAAAAATCTATGACCACGTCCGTAAAAGATCCAAATTTCGTGCACGTGTCTTAGAACCAGCTCAAGAAAACATATTTCTTTCACGAAGTAATTATCATTAAAACACTTAACTCGCTTATCTTTCTAGTTTTGATGTTAAGAGCGATTTCGACAATATTTCCATACATAAAGCTTTCAAGGCAAGTAATAAATAAGCCACCCCCTTTTGCACTCACATTCGTATTTTCGATGGGAACTAAAACACAGAGACGTGACAGAAAGCTATTAAACTTAGTATAAAAAGTCTGACCAAAAGGAGCTCGGATTCATTCAATTTTTATCATTTGATGTGCAAGCATACATTTTATTATTTTACATTCAAGCAATCACTTTATTGTCTGTACCTTTCCTAAACGCTCTTCCTAAACGACGTCTATTCCACAATACTTCCTATTTCCTAAAGGTGACAACGTCTCGACGCCCAACGTCTCGCCGTCCTTCTTCCCTACCTTTCGACGTCCAAACGATATCACTTCTAACACCACTTAGTATTTCCTACTATTATATTCATCCCGACGCCTAACGTCTCGACGTCCAGACGCCCTACTTCCTACGTCTCGAACGCTGTCACATTCCGCACCATCTAAGTATTTCCTATCTTACATTCATTCCGACGCCCAACGTCCGATCGCTCTACTTCTCGACGCTTGCCACCCCTAAATATTTCCTCCATAATATCCTGATCGACACCCTTCGTCACGACCCGCACCACCTAAATAGTTCTACCGTATATCTGTCCCAATGCAGTACCTTTCTTTCCACCACGACGCTAGGCGCCTCGACGCTCAACGCTGCGACGTACCTAAATCGACGCCATCACGACGCTAAATGAAATTAGTACATAATCTAATGTCTGTAATTTCAATGGCGAGTCAAAAGATTTATGTAACTTTCTTTGAGATACCACCAGGTTTTCGTTTAAAGAGGGCTTTTGACATTTGCTACAAAATATCAATTTAACCAATAAACCACATGGCCTTCACGTCATACATCCCGAAAGACAGTTAGGATAGACATCTGTTTCGATGGGTAAATTTTTGAGTATTTCAGTAGAAATTATAAAAATCAATATTAAGAAATATACAGGGTTGTATTAAATAATTTCAATAGAAATTATAATAATCAATATAAAAAAATATACAGGGTTGTATTAAGTTAATTCAATAGAAAGTATAAAAATCAATATTTTAGAAATATACAGGGATGTGCTATCTTAGATAAATTGTACAAACCATGATGGTAAAGTTTAATAGTAAGTTAACCAACTGGTGAATACACTGTTCGTTAGCTCAAGGGGGGACACCTATATGCTAAGCAACCAGTTCTACTAGGTTTAAAACAAAGTTTATGTGAAATCAACATAGTAAGGTAATTAAATGGCGAATCGGCGCTGTTCGTTACTTCCGTTGGTCATCACCTCTATACTCGTCGAAATATTTTACCTAAGAGGGTGCAACCTGTGTATATCTAGAATAGAATCAAAATCAACACAATAGTTAACCAACTGGCGAATTGACGCTATTCGTTAACTCCGTTAGTCATCAACCTAAATAAGAATATAAACATAAACACAGAAGTTAATCAACTGGCGAATTGACGCTGTTCATTAACTCCGTTGGTCATCCTAAATAAAATATATATTGATAGCAAATGAATATGGTCTGCATTGAAACGGGACTCAAGTGAGATCTCACTAAATAGTACCAATTGTAATATACTTTGCTAATTATTGCATCACATTTAAAGTATGAAATATAAAAAGAGTTTAAATATGAATTTGTATGTTTTATTTATCAATTTGCACCAAACTTTGCATCGAATCCTGGTTTACCTTAATTAACATTATCACAACATGGGCATATAAATTTAAAGTAAAACTTGTGAGGTAATCTCAGAGAGTAAAATAACGAACAAATAGAGGGGTGCCGGGGGTGGGCCATTACATATTTTATTTAATAAAATATACCTTTCATCTGGTAATCAGATGGGTGAAGGTCGACCTTATTTTGTATCCTGTACTAACATGATTAATATTTAATAGTATGATTTATTATTAACTTTTTTGTTAGTTGAATATTTTTCTCATAGGCAAAAACAATATGATCCAAATCAATTTTACCACATTAGCACAAATTATCTCTTCTTATTTTTACTTCAAACAACTGAACATAAATTTTACAATGTCCAAATTGTAATCTCATTATAGTGGTATATAGAGGTCTAGATATTCACTGCTTGATCTTTGTTATGTGAAGGGGTTAGCGTTTTTAATGATTTACGTCCTGAAATATAACATTCTCATGCTGTAGGTATGTTTAATAAAAATATTTGTTAATTCTTTATCAATGATAGAAAAATTCTAAAAAGCAAATTGTAAAATATTGTATTTCTTTTAACAGCTATTACACTAAATAAATAACAGTAATATTAAATTAAAACTGTTTTAATATTACACTCCCATACAGAAATACATGGAAAATGTATCTAAACTTAAAAAAAAAATAATTCACAATTAGTTCAAATGTGAATACCACTTTATGATTCATTATGCTATGAAAATATAAAATTTAGATCTATAAGCAGCCTATCATGAAATGTATTTAATAATAAAAAAGTTACATTACCTTTTGAAATAGTAAGCGCTGGAGACCATTGAGAACGAAGTATGTCAAGACAAATACTTCCATTACTATTTATGTTAGGATGATAGATTCTTGTTGTGAATGCCACTTTTGGGGGTTTAAAAGGGTAGTCTGTTGGGAAATGGATTGTTAAGAAAAATACTCCGCCCTGGTATGGACTGTCTGGCTGCAAAATTAAATATTAATGTTAGTTAAACATACTTTTTTGACTGGATGGCTACTTAAAACTAATTATTTTGGTTTTTAAATCTAAAATGAACATAATCCCCAACAACTTACTTCCTTATGGAATCTTCGAAATCTTTAGTCATTTGAACTTTAGGAAAGATCCAAGTGATACATAAGTTGTATATATGGGTTCGAAGCACATGGTAATTTTTTATAAAATAAAATCTCTTGTACAAGGTTCAATGTGTATTGCATTGTAATGCAAAACAAAACTTCTCCAGTCGTTTTTATATCCACATTTAGCTACAAATGAAATGGGATCTGGAGATCATCAGCTATTTCCCAAAGAAGGTTCTTATTACATATTTTGTTGTGTGAAGGGCATCCTACTCATCAGAGAATTGCTCAAACCATTTGTAGTCTTGAGAGTTTCATCAGATTCTCAATAAAATCTCATTATAATCCATTTTCTCGTTTTTTTTTTTTTTAGAGAAAAATCAGTTTTTCTTTGAGATCATAAAAATGTTAACTAGATTCATACCTTTATTAAACAGATCTCAAAAACTGAGTTAAAATAAATTTGCAATTAAATTCAGAGAGCCTTATCACTGATATCACTATTGCAATTTATTTTTCTACCTTAATAGTAAGTTACACCCTATTTTAGTTGGTTTTGTTGTAGTAATTTTTGTACCAGTTGAGAATAACTAGTATGGTCAACAAGGAAATAACACTTCTAGTCAAATCACTGAACTACCATTGAGTAACTTGTTATTTGGTAGAAATTGTGTAAAAATTAAGTTTATGTTCACTTTCATTTAACAAGTTTAAAATAAAATCTTTGGTGCGAGACAAACGTTATGCTCCACTTAATTTAGTTCATTAATTGAACAATTATTATTTCATTTCATATAAAAAGTATTAGTTCTTATAAAAAAATTGTGAAATAAAACTAAAAGACATGCAATGTGTGCTTCAGAAAATCAGGTTCAAACTAAGTTGTAAACACTATTAATGCAAGACAATTTGCATAATAGTATGTATTTGGAATAATATTGTGAATCCCAGACAAGTCCATAATGAAAATAATAAATTAATTTAATTTAAACATTTTTATTTGATAAAAAAGGAGCATTGTATCCTGCAAAACATAAATTATATTGTTTTCTATCAAAACAAATTAATTGAATCAAAATGTCCACTACCTAGGAATACAACTGTATAGCTGCTTAAAAATGTTTCGAAAAAGGTAAAACAATTAAAAAGTCAATGACCTTAAAGGACAAAAGAATTACCATTATATTAACACAAGAACTAAATAAATACTATTAGAGTAAAATTTAAGAAAAACTACTTACTGGTCCCATAATTGTGGCTTGCCAATGAAATACTGCAATAAACAAAAAATAAAATTCATATTTATTAACACTGACAATATTTTTCTTCAAATCACTTACAGTCATCTCCAACAGGACCTGCTGAACATTGTGCCGGAGGATCTCTGCCGAGGTCTTGTAATTCCTACAAAATGAAAAGTAAAATAGTTGGAATGCTTTTACATTAGTATGTAGTTAATTATAGACACCTGAAAGTCATGAGCCTAATATGGAGAGGTTAGTTAAGTGAAATAACAATACAATGTTCAAAAATAGGTGATCCTAGTAAAATAATGAAAAATGTTCACTAAAGTTAGGCATGTTGTGATTAATTTAATGGCTCAACCGGATATTCCCCCTTATGATGACTATTATTCCGGCATTTTCTTCAGAGATTTCATTTATGATAAGTGTAAAATTACACACAATCTGTCATTACTGACAAATTTTCGAGCAAAAACAGTTTGGTATCAACCTTGCATGTTTTTTCAACGAAATTAGCACAAGGAAACTGAATCTTGCACACGATAAACGTTGTTCTAAAAGTGTTCACATTTCTAAATCACAAAATCGTTAAGGGCGTTTAACATATCAAAAAACACTTTAATGTCCTGAATCAGCCATAATATGCCTATACATTGATTCTGTAAACATTAACATACCTTATTAATTCGTTTTAAAGCCATTTGATGAAATGTGTGTGTAATAAATACTGGTTTTTCACCAGACAATGAAAGCGCAAGCTGAAGACCTCTAATAGAGATTGCAAAGATGGCCTCCTTCAAAACTCACAGACACGACGTAAATCAAATAAATATTGTTTTGCGATCATCCACCCAAAAAAACTTTGAATGTCCTGCGAATGGATGGAAATAATTACAAGAAAAACTAAAATGCTCGTTAACACCCCGTCTTCACTCAAATATGCACTTTAAAATAGTAATGTTCCAGAATATATGACTGATCACTTCCGTGGCGACTTTTAGTTTCTATCGGTAAGGTAGAAATCCGTACTTCGTTGACAGCAAATTATTGATATAAATAATTCCTACATTGACAACTATGTATCCTTTAAACTTTAACCTATAGATGGTGCCACGTATGAATGCCTAAAATCAGAAATCTAAATTTTGAAAGGTTGTTTAAAATTCAATAAACCAAAGTTAAAATTAAAAAAGAATAGAAATCTTATAAACTAGCACTAGATAATGTCGTCCTAACTTTAAAATTATTCATTTTTATTTAATCCTAAAAACATAAACGCTTTTACAATTCAACAAATTTTTTTTAAAAGCTCTATCAACACATAAATCTTAGATTAGGTACGGTTAATGAGTTTTTTTTTTTTTAATTAGGCAGTGATTAAATGCACCAAATTTTCTTTTAATTATTACGTTACCCTGCATAAAAAATCTCGTTAATAGGTATCATTTGTTTGACGACATGGTTGCCTAGCTAGTAGGTAGTAAAAGAAAATACAATAAAAACAAAATTTATAAAAAAATTATAAAGGCAGTTTACGCATATGAACTTGATAAAAAACGACGATTTAGTATTAAAAAAAATATTCTAAAATATCTACCCTTACTTATGTGTATATATAACCGGGAAAAAAGTATTCACTTTTTTCCCGAGAAACGGGGAAAACAGTAGGTAATTTAAAAAAAAAAGTGACGACATAAGAGAGATAAAATATCAAACTTTTTTCCCGTCACAAAAAAAAATTAAGTTAATAGGACAGCTTCAGTCCTGATAGCTACCCACTAATATATATATTTTTTAATTTTAATCTTTTTGTAGGAAAAATAATGATAAATTTAGAATATAATAATTATACAAATAATATAATCTTTATATTCCATTAAATTACTGTAAACATCAACGGTTTCCGTGGTGTAGTGGTTATCACATCCGCCTAACACGCGGAAGGTCCCCGGTTCGATCCCGGGCGGAAACATCTTTTTTTTTTGTTTTTTTTACTCGTTTTATAAAAATAAATTTTATCAATTTATAAATAAAAATTCCTTTTTTTCTGTGACGATAAAAAAGTTTGACACTTTATCTTGTTAGGTAACAAAATGTCACTTTTTAAGAAATTATATATATAGGGTGAACCATTTATGAGGGCCGATCTGAATTGTAAATAAAACGCAAAATATTTGGGAAATTGTTTTAATTTTATTTCCTTATGATAAGTATGGTTCAAGGCAATTATGTGTGAAACAAAATATCGGCCAAATGTTCGCCACGGCTTCGGCGGCACACCTCCATTCGATGGTCTATATTCCCATACAGCACAAACACATTTCAGAAATATTTCAAAAATATTACATTGAAACATTTGTAATGTTGTATTAATATTAAGAAACATCCCAGAAACATTTCTGAAATGTGTCTAAAACGTAAAAATTTCCCCTAAATATAATATTTCACAGTAATATTTCTGAAATAAAAATTTGAAATCTTTTAGAAATATTAAATAGTTATATTCCAGAAATCTATTCTATCTTTTTTTTTTAAATATTATTAGACTAAAAAAAAAGACATTTATAAATATACATGTTTATTTAAAATACACAAAACTGAAACATTGATTCTTAAACAAACAAATAATTAAGTTTTAAACATTATTTCATAAAATATAGAAGTAAATCGCTTAATTTCCACAAATTCCTTTAAATGCAATTATCAGAAACAAATAGTTTTTTTTTTAATAAATGCTCCAAAGGAAGAAACATTTATGATTATTACAATCTGATCATTGATCAATTAGCAATTTTATTCTAATCTAACTTATCAAGGGACGAAAAACTTCATAAACTAATACCTATTATACTCACTAGTATACCCACATCCCCAACTAGCCATTCATAAAAGTGTATTTGTTGTGAAGTTCTCATCATCATCTATTGTATAGTCCAGGAGACAGTGACGATTTTCGGTATTTATTTTCCCAGTCAGCAAGCACGAATAGAGAATTGTAGGATTAGCAATTCTAAGCAAAATTCATATATATTTAGAGGGGGGATCCGATGGGCTGAGGCCGAAAATGCGTCAAAACATACGAGAACACGGCCCTTTTTTTCCATTGATAAAAATAGTTTTAGTAGTAAGAGATGTACTGAAGTTAAGTAAAAAAATAGTCTAATCTGTATGGATAATATATTTGGCAAGTGCATAAAAAACATTTTCAAACGAGTTATGTACACAATTATTTCTACGACCACAATTATTTAAATAACGTTCCAGGTGTTTTGTATATTAAAGTGTACGCATAGGACACATAAATAAAATCTTATATCACAATGTTTCACTTAACCAGTTGGTTTCTTTATAGAAATTAAACATAACAATTGAAGATATTACAGAAGAAAATAGGGAAATAAATTACATTTCCTTTTACACTTTTATATAATAATTGTTTTATTTAGAATTCGCGAATCAATTAATTATAATTATTGTTAGTTTCGTTATGTCAAATCATTTATACTAGAGGAAAATACTGTGAACTGTGGAACGCCAATATCGTTGGATGCGCGTGGTAGAAATGGTCCTATAATACTGCTAAAAACATAGCTAAATTTTCATGGAAACACTGTACTTTTGACATTTGCGATACTCCGACGCATATGCATTATTGATGTAATCTCATGATTTTACAATAATAGTTTTTGCAATTTTAGTGTGATTTTTAGGTTATTATGGTTATTCATTTTATTTGGTTCTGATCTTTTGCGCTTTTAGAGTATTTGTCTTTTATATAGTTTTTAATTTGAATTTTAATATGTGGTCTATTTATATTTGATTGCTGCTTTTCGACTAGTGCTTTATTCTTTTTGTGTTAAAATAAGCTTTATAACCATTAAGTACATGCTTCTAGTTGATATCTACCTAATCGTCATCGGGTGCTTGCAACAATGGGAAAAAGTGTAAAGTTAGACGCCTTCATTTTTCAGGTAAGTTATTTGTAGTTATTTTTTACTTAAAAGGATAGCAATACGTCCTGGTTCGGGGTGTGACTTTTGGGTTTTAGCTACCTGAGCCAAATTGTCGGCTAAGTGTCCTCTTTTAGGGCACCCAGAACCGAAAACTATATAGGTATATAATATGTTTTTTTTTAAATTATTTTTTAATATGTATGCAGCTTGGATGAAGGCTTTAGGAAGAGATCCTAAGACTGAACACTGACTGCTATAAATGCCGTTTTTAGAGCACATTTCATAGTGATTTCATTCTAGCAGCAATGAGGAAACGTTTAAAAAACATGCTGTACCAGCTATTACTTTAAGACCTCGTCTCTTTAAGTTATTATTACTTCATTCTAATGCATATATTAAAATGGTTTTTAACTTATGTCCTTATGATTAAAAGATGTAGGTATTTTAGTTATGTTATAATAGAAATATATGATACTTTGTATTGACTGACCTACTGGCCACTGGTCATTCCACTTTTACTCCCTTTTTTCATAAATTATCAAATTATTTAAAAACAAATACATACCTAGCTATTTTCTGTAAATTACATTAAAGTAGTATTAATACTTTACTAATAATAGTTAATTTATCTTATATACACAACGGAAAAGTTAATTGGATTTTCTCCTTGTTGAGTTTCAAAAATAGAAATTTAACATGATTTAAAAACAAATACATGAAATGGGCAAAATAGGCCTACAAAGGCACTTTGTAAACAATCTCACTTGTATCGATGTGACGTAATGCGCGAATTCAATCTGGCTTACTTTTGTTAATAGATTGGCGTTCCATTTTAAATATACAGTTCACCGGGAATAGATTATTTAAATATACACGGACCGGGAAAACAAGTACGAAAAAATTCACTGGCTCCTGCACTAGTACTGTATCGAAGGAATTTTTATGAATGAAACAATATACGACCATCCACAATTATTGCGGTCTACTCAACTTCCGCTGTTGTCAGACATTATTTTTTTTTGGACAATTTAAAGACCTAACAGTTATTCAAGCAAACGTAATAACATTACTACAGTTAAAAACATCGCAAACTTGGCATCAATATTTTAATTTTATTCAAATATTGCATTTCTGTCGAGAATTCAGAAATTGTGTAATCTGTATTGGTTATATATATCTATAGTTAAAAGCACGTAAACTTGGCATCAATGTTCAATCCGATTATTGAGTTTCTACCGCGGACACCACCGTTCATTCTTCAAAAATTTTGTAAATAATCCTGTCTTGGTTATATATCTATGAGTATACCTTATTAGAGTCTATTTACACTACCGTTAAATTTTTGTATTGTATTTTCAACAGTCTCCACATAGGGTGGTTCTTGCTGGTAGGCTGGACAAGAAAAATAAAATAACTACATATGGCGCGTTTGAGAATCCACATCGGATGCATTTTTTACGTCTCGAGCGTTTTTTTATTCACATCGGACACATCTGTCCCATCATAGGCGCCGGAACTCAAAAATCGCTTTGGGTGCCCGGCCTCTATGCGGAAAATGGAGGTTATCACCCCCCCCCCCCTCACACCTCACTTAAACGCATCACCGTTTTTTAAAAAGCACTTAAAAAGCTATTTATTTTAAAACGTTGGATAGGCTGGAGACTCCCACCTAAATCGGGATATTTTGGTATTTGGCAACCCTATATGCTCGGTGCAGCCACCACTGGTATTCAGTGGTGTTGCGGTGCTAGAGTACCAATAAAATAAGTAGAAACACAATATAAAACATTTATTAACTATCATGAATTTAAAAGGAGATTTTTAATTATTTATTAATACAC